CAGGTTTCTAAGTGGATAGATTTCCTATGAAGGCACTTAGGGGTTTTTCTAAGCACAGTTAGTTTAGCAGCATGCAAGGGCGGAACTTTTGATTGTATGGTAGTGAGGCATGTTGTGTGGTAGACGACGAAACATAAACTACGTACACTTTCCCAGTAAGATTTCTTTCTTATCAATGAATTTCACCGAAGTAATTAGGCCGGGATGTGTTGAAGCTTAGCCTAAATTCTTGAATTAAAAATCAGATCATTTAACACGTGGATAAGTTATTCGGCTCATTTGGTTAGTTAACATGTTATTTCGTATGAAAATTGATCAACAGAGTCTTTTAGCTTTATCCATGCAGTGACTAGACTGTCTGAGACGTTGATAATCTGAACTTCTTGGTCAGGATTGCATAGTCAGAATATCAAGATTAAATCGCTTAGATTAAATGCATCGCGGTTAATACCAGTGGTAACAATAGGTAGAGGTGAATACATTTTGAGAATTAGTAGCCCACATTGCAGTGATATTAAGTACTGTGCACCACCCTTCATAATTCTAAGGTGGTTATTGGACTGAATGTTCGGGGTAAATCACTTATGACGTCTAGCTTATCGTGTTACCTGTGTTCCTCACAAAGGATGCTAATTAGCCAGCCAGCTTACTAATTTCGGTTTATTGGCAGTGGCTTACGAGTGTATTGTCCCCCTTTGACAGTTGGTTTGGTGTTCTCTCCTTTGCTCGCACTCGCGAATTTTGCATGAGTAAAATGAATTAGGTGTCGACGTATGTGCATGCCGACATCATGTTTGTTGTCAATAAAAGTACACTTAACCCTAAACCAGAACTCGTTTTTTGCTCTTCTGTTCCTACAATGCGTTTTGTCTTCATCCCTTTCATTTTTTATTCACCTGGTTGATTCTTCTGAGTTTCAGTGTTATCAGATTTGGGTACGAGGAAATCGGAAATGTTCTTCTGGACACTGTGTTGTTCAGGCCAGGTGATGCGGGAAGTTTCATTTAAAACCCGAAGATTATTGGTATCGATGGCCAAAAAATGATTTAAGATTGACAGGATGGTTCAAATATAGCCGCATAGCAGTGCTCGATCCGCATTCAGTGTCCGTTATTCCCGCCCTTATGACAAAGATATCCACTGGAATGTGAAGATTGAACGAGGAGGTTAGGAGACGTCTGACTCAAGCTTTGTTTGTGTCAAGCATCCCTCTTACGCCCGATTTTTCAACTCCGTTGACGTTAGCTGCTTAGGTAAGCGATAGAGACGAGGTCCAAATAGCTCACCGGTGACGTCACTGGCCGCAACACTGGGTGATGCAGGTTCGAATCTCAGAGAGGACGTGAATCCCCTCGAAGATGCAGATACACCTTACCGACGAGTGCCAACAGGTACAAAACTTATGTTCAGGGCTTCCTGCTGGTCGCATCCCACCAACGACCAATCAGGCCTCATAAGGGCTTGGGAGTAGTTGATAGGACTCTGTGACAGTCGACGTCTATGAAAGCGCACCGTATTCGTGAAGCCGCAGTGTCCGTGCCTCCGCGTCCAAGAAATTTACGATCAGCCTACATTCTGTAACGCTTGGCTTCACTGGCGTTCGAAGTCCGATCAGATAAACGAGTGACGTTGGAGCAAGCCTCTCTTCTGAAACTCATATGGTTGAGCGTGAACAATGACTTAATAGGTTATGGACTTTGAGTATGTGACTGTGTAGACCCGGGCAGTGGAACCTCGGATGCTGATTGACCACGCTTGGTTGTACACTGGATGAACAAGCACCAAAGTACATCGAGTATCATTAGAAGACGTAATAGGTCGCCTATCTAATTTCCAATTATTTTAAGGGAAATTTTGCATTGGTGTTGTGAAGCTGCAGTGCACGTTATCCCGCTCTCAAGGGGTTATTTGGAAAGCTGAACTTTGTCGCAGTAGAGAACTTTAAGGTAAACATACATCACTTCTTATTTAGAAAATTAATTCTGTGGTGTACGGACCTTCAAAGAAAGTGCACCCATGCATGCTCGACTGGAAACGGCTTTACTCTTAGATGCGACCCTTCTCACATTCATGGTAAGTGCCTCCGCTTACCTTTTTCTATGACCATAGAACTATGGTGGAAACGTACTGTGTGAATTTCTCAAAACGACCAGGCAGGTGTTTTGTTTGCTCTCACCTACCAAAGTATGCTTGATTTTCTGTTTTCGCAGAGTTATGGAATAAAATGGAACTGTTTGGACAAAATTAAAAGATACATGGAACGTGCAGTAGATACAGCTTCCGAAAGCTAGTAGACGCCAGAAAAAATTACGTATCCTATTTCTGACCATTATTTTCCTGGTATTTCTCTGCGTAAAGAATTCTGCTGATGAAAATCTTATAGATACAAAGGGCTACATCTACCCAATTAGGTGCAAGATAAACTATTCACGTTGATTTCTGTCCACAAGTCTAAGTGATGATTGACGTCTCAACCAGTGAACATATCAGGCAGTTCAAATGGGTAATGAAGACCAGTTTTTGGCATCATTACGTCTTCGTTTCTTACGAACTAAGGGTTCCGCCCGAACGTTTTGAAAGTTATGAATTGAAGGATTTAAGGTTTCCAACAACATATGCAGCTTTTAAGCGGTTGCGCATTGAATTTAGACTTCTCAGGCACTTGCACGGGGCGCTCTGGGAAGCTCACACCATGGATTTCCTGCATGAAAACGTATATTCCATCTTTAAATCCTAGTTCTGCGTACACCTCCTTGGTTAGCATAAATATTGTCCTTGAGTGGATGTAACGCCTGTGCAACCTAAGACACTGAGCTCAAGCATGGTTGTTGGAAAGAATTGGTTCACTAGCATCAATAGTGACCAGTTCCTCAGGCACTTCTTTGAGTTCACTCATTAGATGTGCGTCGTTTACCTGTTCCAGCTTCACACCATCTGTTCTTATCAGTGGGACATTCACTTGTCGCTTAGAAACGTTCAGTTATACCTCTGAGTACCATACCATCTGTAGAGGTCAGGGTCTGTTTTCACTCCACCAAATCCAGCAGCCTCTTTAGAGCAGCTGGTTCATTTATAGCTCTCTTAAATGTCATAACGGAACAGTACATACAATATGCTGTCTTTTTGTTGACAAAATCGTGACCTGCCTGGGCAGTTATGTTAGCCGCGTAAATGGCTTCAGTTCGTAACGTCAAGTTTTCAGCTTAATAGATGTTAGCCACTGAGTGTTGAGGGTGGATCAGTGGTATCTGGGTGTAAGTATGAAAGATTTGAGTGTGGCTTGGAAGAGGTTCATGATAGTATGATTTCATAGCTGCTGACACTTAGGTACCTCCGCCTCACACATGAACTGGTCTACCCCGAACACTGGTCAGGATTGGCTAGAAGAACTGAGTTAGATGACTCTAGCTTTAACCCTGTTGTCATGATGGGATGGACTGCGTAAAAACTTGAAGCCAAATTTACTAATAGAGTGGACTTTGAGTTTCTGGCAGACATATTGCAGAGTTGTGCTTTCTTTGTCTGAGACACGAATTCATGGTAAACCACCAGATATCAATCTTTGATGCCCTTCGATGTTTTCATCGGAAGTTTGGGTTTCAACAGTATTTCCAAGTTTGACAGTTAGAAGGGAATCAGAGACACAAGCGAAACGGCGTTCGTTACGTGTTCGATGGTGTCAGAGGTATAAAACATGTCCAAGGTGAATCGTGACGTGTTGCCTAGATGGGGCCACGTACACGGAGATTATCAGAGATAGTACATGTGATAGAGTTGAGAGGTTCGTATGAATCTGTAACCTTCCCAGATAAAAGAAAGGATTTGTTAGAATTGTAGATAGCTTATGGGCCGTAACAAAACGTTTTCTTCGTTTCAAAGGCCGACGACTCCACCATAAAGTAAACAGAAGGCTCTCGAACTTTATCCATCAGCTGTTGAAATGCATATCTAGTAGCTAGGTCTGGGACATTAACAGCAACGCAGCGAGGAAGGTTTACATCTTGCCACTTCTCGAAAGGCATATTTAGGTTTTGCATCTTGGGCAAAGGAATTTGTGGTCGGATGTGACTTTTGTCACTTTTGCCCGTCTCTTGGTAGAGTTCAGAAATAAGCTAGAGTTTGGTGGTAATGACTGACTTTTATCACAGTTGGAGTAGTCAGAATGCTCCTGGTGAGTAGCTCACACCTGTAGTACCACCTGACTTCTTTCAAGAGCACCTTATTTTGGGGCGGTAGCTCAGTTACCAGTGGCGAGTTGTTACAATTTGATCCTGGGTACTCACGTTAGATGTGCCTTAAGTCTAGGCTTGTATTTTTCACTTGAAGTTAATGTCATTGGCCAATACAGTTTTTGAAACACTCCGTTATGCCATCTGTCTATCAAGACTCAAATAAGTAGTCTAAAAGGATAGTTTTAGAAGAACAAATGTTAGACTAGTGTAACGTAGCGCATCAAGCAGCAATCTTTCACTCACAATAATTCCTTGCCTACTTTAGGCGGAGTGAGACAAATGCATATAAAAAGTTTGTTCTCCGCACTCCCTAATGCCTTAGTCAGCTTCCTGGGTTTGGTATGTCATGTCACAGGTTTTCGAATAGTGTCATAACACAGCTCACGCTGAAACACGGATATAATCTGACCGCTTACTTTTTTCAACTGAAAGCTGACTTTCTGAAGCTGTGTGAGAAGAGGATCTTGAGGATTTAGGTTTTAACGAATGCATCTGACTATAGCCCTAAGAGGAACTTGAGAGACCGTCTTGCATTTTTGAAAGTGTTTGAATTTTGAAACTATGGGAAGATAAAGATGGAAGCACCTGCATTTTTGTCATGTATCTGACTTCCGTTTAGCCACACATTGTCCAATATGCCTCTTCCCAAGTTATTGTTTTACTACTCTTGAGGGTCACCTGGCTCTTGTTTTGATCCAGATGTTCTAGCCTAAATTTTGGTTTGTTATTAATGACTTGTAATAACATCTTCGGTCATTCTCATTTTAGTGGCTGCGGAAGAGGTTTTGGAAGAGTGTTCTTTCGAAACAATGGAGCCTCCTGTGAAGAGGTTTGTTATCGATTCAACTAACTTGCTATTAATTTAGGCAATGCTTTGATGATGTCCTAGATTTGAGCCGCAAATCAGTTCGTACTGACAATGAAGTTGAAAAAATTTCTAGCAAGGTTGGTTTTTCTGGTGTGGTTATTTCGCCAGAATGATGACGATGTTATCTTGTTAAGTGAGGATGAGGATGATCGTATGCTTGGCGCTTTGTGCGACGAGATGGAAAAAGAAAATGCTCCGAAACAATCCCTTATGTCGAAATCACGTGCCCTTCTTTTGAAGTTGGAGAACGAGCTGAGGAATGAGGAAAGCACTTTGATGTTGCTACAGCAATTGCGAAATAATCAGCGGTCACATGCCCTTCAACCAAAGGGTGCTAAGGTAACATCAACTGGGACACCTACAGTACGAAATACACAGTCTCCTGTTAACCAAGGTAAGTTCATGTTCTCTTTAGGTTTATGTTAGTCCGGCCAGCAAGTAACCAACCTCCTGGACGGAATGGCCCATCTACGACTGGTGGTAGAGCAACGCAGTGTAAGTCAGTGCTGTTTCATCACATTTCTTCGTTAGCTCCTGCTCAGAATCCTACCGTTCCTATCTCATCAAATAACACAACAGTACCCAAAGTTACAAAGGGAATGGCCATACATGCTCTTGAACAGCAGTGCAACGGCAAGAAGGCGATGCTACGGAAGCAGTTGGAAAGAACTCTAGATAAGGTCGTTCTACCAAAACCTGCATTAGGTAACGGACTGTCTGTGGTACCATTTGTACCCAGCACCTTAACAAACGAGTTTACTGCGTTGATAGGCCTCGAAGAAATCGTAAATACCATACAGGTAAGCGTTTTTTCATGCTATCTCTCCTTCTTGTAACATTCTAAACTTTTTGATGCACTTCAAGCACTGGCAAGCTTATGTATTCGACTGCCACACTTATTTTTGGGGCTTGTAGTTCTAGCATGTTGCGTAAACCTAAGTAGATGAAGCAGGGTTTGAATTCGGGACCCGTTTCTTATGGTGCGTCGAGTGCATGGGCTGATAAACCGCATGTTCACGGCTTAAAAATGTTCATCATGTAGCCCCCTTATATTCCTCAGCAATGAAATTTTTTGTTGGACTGCTCTCAATATCATGACTCATTGTCAAAATGAAGTGTCCTGACATATATTTTTAACAGTCCACTGCTGGAGAATTACGAACTTCACATCTCTAAGTATTTCTTAGGCAACCACGAAGCTTTTTCTAAGCTTCCGACGGGTTGCTTAACTTTGCATTACAATCTTCATGAGTGTTATCTTAAAGGAATTCATGTAGGAAGTTCATGGTGATATTTGCGTTGATAAAAGCACTAATAAGTATTAGTCTGGTTGCAGCGAATGAGACAATCCTTCAGTTCATTGATTTAACTACCAATGGTTTGTTAAACTCTAGGCAAGTTGTTTTTCTTACCTAATGAGAGTATGCTTAGGCATAACTTTGATCAATACTGTATGTAGTAAGTTCTGAGGGCAAATGTGAAAAAGATGTTTGGTTCGTTGTATATGGGCAATATATCTTTCGGTGAGAAGTTAAGCACTCATGCAGGAAACATCTAAAACTTACCTGGTAGGTGAATAATCTACAGACTCAGTATGTAGCTGTTAGTCAGATCAAAGGAAGCGTCAAACCAAAATCATGTACTGAGCATTCACTAACGACATATCGGCCGGTACTTTGTTGGTTTGATACTTTTTTTGAACGTAGGCCTGTATTTTGTTCTCAGGGGGGCAAACTACAGAACCTTTAAAATCGTATGAATTCACAAAAGCTCAGGTATCTACTTGCACTGTACATATAAGGCAGTTATGTCTTCAGCGGTGCCATGGCTAACAATAGAGAGTGAGGTAGTTGTGTGTCGACCACTTGACTTACCTGGAAAGTAGGATCAGCCCAGGTGGGTCAGTTGCCGACGAAATCTCTGCACGGATACAAAAGGCTCGCCTGGCATTTGCCAATTTACGCCACCCATGACGCCGCCGTGGTATCCGTTTGTCTAATAAGGGTCGCATGTACTGCACCTGCACAGCAATCCACTCTGTTCTACTGTATGGCTGTGAAACATGGCCATTGAAAGTGGAAGATATAAAAAGGCTTCAGGTGTTTGACCACCGTTCCCTTCGTAGTTTAGGACGTGTGCCGTGGTGTCACCATGTGAGTAATGCAGAAGTCAGGTGTCGAGTTTTAGGGAGAAGAGGTAAATCAGTTGACGAGGTTATGAACCTTCATCAACTGAGATGGTTGGGACACGTACTACGTATGCCTAGTCACCAATTGCCCTGTCACACAATGTTGGCTGAGGTGGGTCCAAGTTGGAAAAAGGCTCGAGGTGGCCAGACTAAAACATGGCACCAATGTATGAAGTCTCTGACTGTTGGTTTAAGCCATGTGGGGCGATGCAGACTAGGTGGTTGGGGTCGGCGGGACAAGAGGAACCAGTGGTTGGAGACCCTAGGTGATATTGCTCAGAACCGATGTGAGTGGCGCAGATGTATACACACATTATCCTCATCTTAACAACGCTATACCGAATCTCACCATTTTGTCACTCCTCTTTCCTTTCTTCTCGTACTTTATATTTCTTTTGACTGCATTCACTTATCTTCATCCTTCACCTTACTACCTTTCTACTTGATGAACTGACGTGAGGTGTGGCAACTCGGACAGTCACGCTGTAGTGCCTGGTCTTAAGTTGATATTTATGATGATGATGATGAGTTATGCCAAGGAGAAAGGTATTTCTGAGGTTCTTTAGAAAGCGACCTAATAGTACCGACTAAAGTGCCTATTGTGTTCCCCTTAGGTAGTTACCATCCCAAACAACAATAATAGTGTACGAGACGCCCTAACAACCGACGTCAGTGGAACTGTAAATGCATACCATACGTGTGTTGAAATCATAACACGTGTTCGTCTTTAAATATTCAGTTCACCAACCAACTTAAACAAGACGTTCATGCAGATCTCCCAGTCGATTTAATGAATCGGAGTTCAGAAACTGTCCCATTGACCAAAAGACAACTAGCTAGATAGTAATAGTAACTTTCATAAGGAATTTTTCACAAGCTAGTGTTCGTAGCTGATGTTGTGTTCACTGAAAAGCAAATCTCTGATGCGCCGATGATGTCTAGCATGACGTTGAGACGACTGCCAAATAAAATCCTAGCTCAGAAAAACTCACTGGGAACAGGTTTTCCTCTGACAAGTTTCAGCCAGATAACAGCACATCTATTCAAGTTGCCACACCATACTAACACATCAAGTTAGAAGTCAACATGGGAAAGGACAAAACGACGATAATGGCTATACGTGGTTTTGAGACAAAAAGGAAATGAGATAAAGGGAATTACTATTTGTGATAGCAGATTTGGTAGTACTTAACCGATGTGACACAAATGCATTCGCTCTACTCTCTTATCCTCTAACGCCTTCAAATACTAACTTCTACCGTATTGTGAATATTGCGTTCTAGCTTAGTAGGCAGATATCAGTCTAGGAATCGACGTGAGGGGAGACATCACACCATAATGGTCCAAGTTGCAGTACATCACGTGGTACAAACCATCAAAATGAGAGAGAAACAGGTTGAGAATGTGCAATTAATAATTACAGAAAGTTATGAGCAGAAAGGAGAATAGAATAGAATAATAATGAAATATGATGCGACGACCAAGGTGAAAGTGGTATGTAGGTGCATCTGCGCTTCTACTGTTGGTCCCCAACCGTATCACCTGGGGTTTCCAACCACCGATCTCGGTTATCGTGCAAACCGTGACCGGGGAATATACAGTCTCTTACACAGCCCAGGCCAACAGGAAAAGACCTTGTGGATTGATTTCGTATCTCAGTCTATCCACGTTTTACCTACCTTCATACTTAAACCTACTTCTATCATTGCTTTTATCGTTATGAACGGCATCTCTATCGATGAAGATCTCCAATCTCATCAACTGACCTACATCTTTTACCTAGGCTTATGTCTCATCGCTACATTACTAGCACGAGGGTTCTACAATAGCCTATGTTATGAAGATAATGGCGGTCGAACACCGAAATCATTCTCATGTCATCTACCTGTAATGTTTCTTTCACAACCATGCAGTAAGGCAAAGCGAACTGTTTATTTGCTACACTCGACCCAGTAGACGGTCAGATATCTGTCGGACGCTGATGGGGAAAGTCAATCGAGCCTCTAGTAACCGTGCAGAGATCTCATTGGCGTACTCAACCACTTGGCTTCCTATTATTGGACGAGACTGTAACGCAAATCGTTCTTTGCGTTTGGATGATGTGAAGCTTATCTCGAAATTTCACAAGTTTCCACTCAAATCGTCCGGAATACTCTGCATTTTGTCATCCTCATCAGCTGGAACAAAAAGGTAAGCATAGAACTTGACGCTGTCATTTCGAGTGACTACATTTGACATCAACATGGAATGAATAAGTTGGTAGTGAAAATGTGAAAGTTGACAAAATCATATGAGGAACGGGAGAATTAATAGGTTAATATTGATGGAAATATCTGAGACTTCGAAGACGATGAGGTGTAAACCTCTGCACCACCGTGACGAGTTTCGCCCCATGTCACCAAGTCTTGAACCGTTGATTTCTATCATCTTAAGGGCCCCCAGCCACACAGGTTTTACCTTCTTTTGTTGGTCAATTAATATCAACATAGAACCTGGTATTACTGTGTACCGGTCCGATTCGCTGCACCTAACATCAAAGTGCTAAGTAGAAAAATGAGGAAATAGAACTTAAACCAAGTCAGGAACTTTACGGATATGCGCAAGGTCATTAAGTGGCCTCATAAAATTCTTCCAGCCCAACTTTTTTTCGGCTAACATTTCATGCCGAAGCAGATACCACCTTGACATGCGCAACGTATTTCAGTCACCCTGACTGTTCATAGTATCAACTGACTCGCCTTCCTCGTATAATACTTTACACTAAATCCCGAAAAAGATCAGCGGCAGAAATAGCACTATACCCTCTGGTCCACGACCTTCCAATGCCTGTGGCATGGGTTTTTCCCATCCGGCGTTAGAAGAACCAAATCATAAACCAAAATCCTGCAAAAAGTTGTGTGAGACAGGCCTCAAGCAGATGACCATGGTCTCTGCGGTCACACAAATCTTTTACTCTTTCAGGTATCCATGGGTGACCAGAAATTGTAAAATGTCCGCACGTTTCCAGCGGCAGACAAAATCCAACCGAGTATAACCCAACCATCCTCCTTTTCCTTCATCCGGCGCCAAAACCAGACCTCTTATGATTTCCTCAACCTCAATATACGACCATTGCCAACGACCCAAGCCATCAAGACCTCATACCTAGTCTGCTGACACTATTGCCGGTTTCACACTGAATCTTTCAACGTTGGAAACCGACTAGCGGTGGATCCTGACGCAGCTCTCCCCATCAGAAGGGGATATGCTAGAAAACGTCAGCCATTAGAATAGTACTCTACTCTCTGGTCTGAAGCATACTGGTGTTGTCAATTAAGATATGACTAGATTCAATGTCAACAAACGTGAATCTCAAACTCATACGAAAACCGTATGTGACCAACCTCAAGCAAATATCTCCTGTGTTCTGTCGTTACGCGCCACTATTAACAACCGGATTTCTTTTTCAAGCACCTCAAGGAAAACTAGCCTTCTGGGATGTATCAACCGCCGTCACAACTCAGTGCTCAAGTCTTCGATCATTATTAACCAGGCATTACTGCGTGACGGTCCGAGTTGCCACACCTCACGTCAGTTCATCAAGTAGAAAGGTAGTAAGGTGAAGGATGAAGA